GCCCCTCCGAGCACGTTGAGGTGGTGTGGATTGACCAGGAGGTCGTGAACACCGACGCCTGCGGCATAAAGGATTGGTTTGGTGGACGAAAAGTGATCAACGTGTTTGAAATCCACACTGAGAGCTTCTCCATCCCGAGAGGGGCGAGGCGGATTGTGAGGGGCAAATATTGCGCCAACCAGGCATACCAGGTTGGGGACCAATATGCCCTGGGGCTGCAGTTTCACCCAGAGGTGGATGAGGAGAAGGTGAGGAGTTTGACTGCACCGAGTTTTCCGTCGCTCTACACGAGAGAGGAAATCATGGCTATGGATGAAGAGGAGTCCACACGATTGTCTCCCGCAGCCATGACTCGTGATGACATTGAATTGTGTCTGCGTGATGGGCGCATCGAGCGGAACCTGCCCATTGCAGACAGTATTTATGACACGTGGTGCTCGGGGTTCATTCTGTAATTAATAAGTTTTGGATATTTATATTTTTCAAATGAAAAAAGAGGCAGTAAAAGAAAAACGGAGTAAAACAAACAAACAAACAACAAAAAAGAATTAATTAATTTTAAAGAGATGAAAAATAAATCAAAAACAACAACAACAAAACAACAACAAAAACAAGCAAATAAACGAAAAAGAAGGCAGCAGGTAATTAATGCCATGCGCAGGCTGTGGGACAAATATCCATTCTTCCTTATTCCTCAATACACATTCGACGACGCATGTGGGGAGTTCTTGAGGCTTCTGCCGTTTCTTTGGAGTCTGGCGCGGCGTCGAAAGGGCAGGCGGGGGTGGGGGCTTAAGAGAGCTGTGTGTCTGGGCGAGGGGAGGGGGGGGGGGGGGGCAAGCACGGTAAAGAAAAAGAGGATACAACCGTTGGAAGGGGTGAGGAAGGAACCCTGCAAAGAAATCTTCTCCCTTTTCTTTTTTTACTTTTTTGCTTTTTTCTTTTTTTGTCTGTTATATTTCTTTTGAACGGCCTTCTTCTTTCTTTTTGACGCTCGTGTTGCTTCGCTGTTGAATCCTCCATAAATTGGACCTCCTTCCCCCAAGGCTTTGGACGCAACTGGAAAAACCTCTTTTGCCTCCTCGCTGCGCCTCTCCCTATCCATGTTTGCGTGCATTTACACTTGTACATGAATATATCCGTCTGTTTCAACTTTCTTATATTATAATCATGTATCCGGGTGTGTTTTTTTGTTTTTTTTCTTCTTGTTTGTTTTGCTTAGGCGTTTTTTTTTGGTTAACCGTTGTTTTATTCTCTTCTTTTTTTTTTTTTTTTTTGCTGCCCGTTGCCCGGTAAACTCTTCAGTGCACTTCTGTAATGGCAATACGTGGCAGCGTAAAACGCAGCCAAATTGGGGGCCCTGAAGTAGGAAAGAATTTGGGTAAATAGATGAACAAGACGCCTTTTTTTTATCCTTCTTCTTTTTTAAAACAATTGCATGAACAGCTCGAAATCCTTTTTGTTTGTTCTAAGTGAATTCTCCACTGCCACTTTATGTGGCGCCTGGCAGTGGGCTCCAGTCTTGTTGGCCTTTTTTTTTCTTCTCGTTTACATGTTTGTGTGCTTACGCATTGGCGCTTGTGGCCTTTCATGCGCTTTTCTTTTGTTTCCTCTTACAATCCTTTTTTTTTTTTTTAGCACTTAGATCTCCGCTCCTGGCAATGCGCCGGTGGGGCCTGTATTCCTTTCAGTGCCTCTGCGCATGTCGTTTAACTGCCGCTAGGCAGGCGGTGAAGGGGCCGTTGCTGCCACCGGCTCTCTCTTCGTCCTCGTCTCCGTTGGAAACAAAGAAGCCGGGGAGCAAAGCAAGTTCTACAAAGACAGTGACGCAAGAGGCTTCACGTGCGCCACGCACAAAGCTTGATCTTCCCGCGGCGTATTCATCCTTCCGTGGCATCACCCCCATTAGCGAGGTCAGGGAGCGCTACGGCTATCTGAGTTCTGGCGATAGGGCTGCGCAGGCAACGGTGCGTGTTGCGGGTCGTGTTACAAGCGTGCGAGATATTGGAAAAATAATTTTCGTCACAATTCGGTCGAACGGCAACGAGCTTCAGGTCGTGGGGCAGGTAGGCGAACATTTCACGCGTGAGGACTTGAAGAAACTGAAGGTGTCTTTACGAGTTGGCGATATCATTGGGGCAGATGGCGTTCCGTGCCGCATGCAGCGAGGCGAACTCTCCGTGGCCGCCTCCCGCATGCTCATACTGAGCCCGTATGTTTGCACCGACCGGGTCGTTTGCCCCAACCTTCGCGGTTTTACTGTGCTGCAGGACAACGACGTCAAGTATCGCTACCGTTTTACTGACATGATGACTAATCCATGCGTCATTGAAACAATTAAGAAGCGGCATGTGATGCTTCAGGCATTGCGAGATTATTTTAACGAACGAAACTTCGTGGAAGTAGAGACCCCCGTACTGCACACGGTGGCATCGGGAGCAAACGCCAAGTCTTTTGTGACGCATCACAATGCGAACGCAATGGATTTGTTTCTGCGTGTTGCCCCAGAGCTGCACCTTAAGCAGTGCATTGTTGGGGGGATGGAGCGCATATACGAGATTGGAAAAGTTTTTCGCAACGAGGACGCCGATCGAAGTCACAACCCGGAGTTTACAAGCTGTGAGTTTTATGCCGCATACCACACATACGAGGATCTTATGCCTATGACCGAAGACATTTTTCGTCAACTGGCGATGCGTGTAAACGGAACAACTGTAGTTCAAATTTACCCCGAAAACGCCCATGGCAATCCAGTTACTGTGGATTTGGGGAAACCCTTCCGTCGTGTGAGTGTATACGATGAGATACAGAGGATGTCTGGGGTGGAGTTTCCGCCACCAAACGAACTAAATACGCCCAAGGGCATCGCATACATGTCCGTTGTCATGCTGCGTTACAACATTCCTTTGCCCCCTGTACGAACGGCCGCGAAAATGTTTGAAAAACTCATCGATTTTTTTATTACCGATCGCGTTGTTGAACCGACGTTTGTGATGGACCACCCGCTGTTTATGAGCCCCCTTGCGAAGGAGCAAGTGTCACGGCCTGGATTGGCAGAGCGCTTTGAGCTTTTTGTTAATGGGATTGAATATTGCAACGCCTACAGCGAGCTCAACGACCCACACGAGCAGTACCACCGTTTCCAGCAACAGTTGGTGGACCGACAAGGGGGAGACGAGGAAGCCATGCCGCTGGACGAGACTTTTCTGAAGTCGTTGCAAGTAGGCCTTCCGCCAACTGCGGGATGGGGAATGGGAATCGATCGTGCCTTGATGCTGCTCACAAATTCTAGTAACATCCGTGATGGCATCATCTTCCCGTTGCTACGCCAAGACATTAGTTCTCATGATTCCAAGCGGCGTCATAAAACGGCCTCGTTTTTTGATTTCAACAAACAGATGACGCTCTTTTGTCTCAGTAGTCTCGAACAGGAGTTTAGGCGAAATGGGCTTTCGGAGGACTCATGCGCCAATGTCCGTGAACTAAGAAGGGTCATCATGGAGTTGGGACAACACGGGGGGGCGAACGGCCTTCCAACGGCAGGGGGTCGTTTGTCCGGGTGGCGAATAACATTGATGTTTGCAATTATTCGTTTCATATGCGGTACACCGAGGCGGTAAAATCCCTTTTTTTCGGGAATTTCTCTTTTTTTTTTTGCCTGTTCGTGCTGTGTTTCTGGGATGATGTGTAATGCTGCTTGTGGTGATGGTGGATGGGTGGGCGGGGGGACTTTTCGCATCCTTCTTTTTTCCGTCTTTGGTGTTGCTGTTGGCTGTGGTTTGGATTGCGGTTTTGCTGCCATGTAGAGTTGCAGTGACAATGATATGCGGAGGGGGGTGAGGAGAGAAATCATGGATGGCGGCCCGTGCGCCTTTCACTTTTTTCCGTCATGAATTTCTTTGCTTTGTTTTTTTGTTATTTTATTTTATTATTTTTTCCATGGAACTGTTTCTTGTGGTTTGTGTCCTGCGCTGCTGGTGGTTTTCAAGTGGTGGAGAGAAGAAGTGAAGGGTAAACTATAACAAGTGAGGATGCTGGGGGGCCGTCAGGCTGATGTATACGAGCGAATCAAGTGGGATGGCTGGGGCCTGCGGGACGTCGCATTGTGGTACGACGAAGAAAAAAATCTTGTCTTTCACTTGAATGGGAAACCCATGAAGGGACTCCTGCCATTCATCCAGGAGAAGGTTGTGCAGGGTAGTGGTGAACTGAGACTGATAAAATCACCGGGCATTTCGGTGGAGGAGGCCGTCAAGCGACTTCAGCAGCCTTTTATTAACCAAACATTTCTGGAGGAGTTACGGCAGGCACTACAAAAGGACCAGATTCGTCTTGACGGAGAAAGCCGTCTTACGCACATGGTTGGAAAAAACTATCGAGATCTCTGGCGGGCTCGAAATGGCTTGTTTGACCGCGCACCTGACGCAATATGCCTGCCCAACAGACACGAGGACTGTGCAAAGATTATGGAGCTTGCTCACAAGCATAATGTGGTTCTTATTCCTTTTGGTGGTGGAACAAGCGTTACAGGCGGTGTCGAGCCTACACCTTTTGGGACAAAGCGCATGATTGTTTCGGTTGATATGCGTCGAATGGGACGTATGTTGTCCATTGATAAGGAGTCCGGATTGGCTGTATTTGAGGCGGGTGTTTTGGGTCCTGATATGGACGAGCAGCTCCGACCTCATGGCTTTATGTTTGGCCATGATCCGGACAGCTATACTTACTCGACTCTTGGTGGATGGATTGGTGCACGTGGTAGCGGCGCCATGTCGAACAAGTATGGCGATATAGAGAACATGCTTCTTGCAATGAAGGTAGCAACTCCTATTGGCGTTGTGGAGACACCTGTTACTTCACGACCCTGTGGGGTGGATCTCAATGCCATGTTCACTGGATCGGAGGGGGCCTTTGGAATTATCACGGAGGCCACTGTTAAGATTGAGCGTATCCCTGAGGTGAGACATTTTGAAGGTTGGATGTTTCCTTCCTTCGAGGTTGCTTTTTCTGCCTTTCACACATGCACGCGAAAGGGAGTTCATCCTTGCACAATGCGACTTTATGACGAGGAAGAAACGCGTTTTAGCTTCGCGGCAAGTACAGACGATAGCCTGATCGGCTCACTTATTAGCAAGGGCCTGAAAAAATACCTGGAGAAAATAAAACAGTGGGATCTCCGGAAACTTTCTTTGGTCATCGTTGGATTTGAAGGGACGAAGGCTCAGACACGTTGCCAAAGATCTGAATTGTCAATTATCTTTAAGGAGTTCGGGGCAGTTTCTCTGGGATCGAAGCCTGGAGAGTCTTGGATGGAAAAAAAGTATGATTTGCCTTATCTTCGTGACTTTGCTCTTTCCCACTCGTTGTGGGCAGATGTGTTTGAGACCAGTGTTTTGTACTGTGATGCCATTCGCTGCTGGCGCGCTGTGAAGGAGTCATTTGCCAGTGTAATGAAGGAAAACGGGAGGACCGGTTGGATTGGATGCCACAGCGCCCACCAATATCGCTTTGGCTGCTGTCTTTACTTTACTTTTATTGGTGCCCAGCACGATGAGAACGACATGAAGTTCTTTTTACAAATCAAACAGCGTGCCATGGAGGAAATGCTAAGCCATACCGGGAATCTGACTCATCACCATGGGATCGGCTACGAACACGTTCCGTGGATGCAGCGTTACAACGGCAAAATTGGGGTTGAAGCGATCATGCGGTTCAAGAACGCCCTTGACCCTAGAAACATATGCAACCCTGGCAAGCTGCTTCCGTCCCCCCGTGCTGAGGACGAGACATTGGAGGCAGCTGAGGCTCGTCAACGCCGTGAGATGATGTTTGACAAGATGGGAGTCCCAGGAGCGGTGCAGTCTCACCTGTAAGGCGTGTTTTTTTTTTTCTTGTGTGTGGGGGGAGGAGTGGGGAATAATTATTACACTGGTGTTTGAGGCAACTATCTAAAATTTAACGGTATAGAAGAGAGAGGAGGACAGCAACTAAAGAAATAATGAAATAAAGAAAAAGAATTAAAACACGAAGGAAGGATTAGAGAATAATGGGCGGCGAGAGGAGTCATTTGGAGGGGTAGCGATGGGGCATGACGCTGCTGATTTTGTTGTCATGGTTTTCCCCCCTTTGTTATTTTGTCATTCACCCCTGAAGGAAGCAGACCTAATAAAAAAAAAATATAATTCAAGGCCATTGACACTCTTTCCGCCATCCCTCTTCTTTCTTTGTGTATATTTATGTGTTCTCATCAACGTTTAGGTAGGGCTGTCGTTTTTGCAGGCATTGCAGATATATTGGTGCGGCAGGGGGATGAACGAACCGTGTGGGTGTGGTACGCAGCGCATCCAAGCTCGATGCTTTCAGTTGTTTCTGTCTCGGCAGATAGTCGGGGAATTGGATGGCGGTTTCCATTCCTTGATAGCAAGGAAGGATTTCGTATTGATGTGGAGATATCTCGCAGAGGCGTGAAACTGAACCAGAGCTCACATACCGTGCCCATTTCTGCGGCCGTTGCGCAAATAAAGCTTCTGTCTTGTGTGGCGAGGGATCCACCGCGTCTACATATTAGCTGTACGGAGGTCATGGCTCTGGAGGAGCTGTTTTTGTCTTTGGAGAAGGGTTCGTGTGGCATGCCTGCTGTGATAGTGGCAAGGCTACAAACGAACAAATTTAGTTACTTATTGGGCCACCATAAACGGCTCACTGGGCGCGTGTTGTCACTCCTTCGCACCGTGAGGATGCTCTCACTGGAAGAACATAAGGGGGAGGATGGCAAACTGAGTGATCTACATGAACTAAGGAACCT